GGGCTGCCGATGGAGGCCTACCAGACGCCTCTGGGGCAAAACCAGTCTCAAGACGGCTTCTCGTCGGTGGCCCCGGGGGTGCCAGCATGGTGGCAGCAAATCGCAGAGCTTGCGGAAGCAGGCTGTGAAAGACGGCTTGGTCCCCAAGGCTCGAAGGGCCTTAGTCATCTGGTTCCAGGAAAACTCCGAAGTCAAGAAAGGCGCTCCCAAGCACGAGTTTCTCAATGAGATGAAGCATCTTGGCGCAGTCTGGCAGGGCATGACCGCCAAGCAGAAGGCACCATTCATGGCGAGGAGCAAAGATGAGTTCATGGCTCAGCGAAGTGCACTGGCCGTTCTTGGCATCAGGATGCGGGGCTCCACGACCAGTGCGGGCGGCCCCGACGAGGCGAAGGACCCCCCTGCCGCTGACGAATCTGGCGGTCGCGTTGGCCCATTTGAGCTTAATGGTGCAAGGGCTCCAATTGGAGGCGGAGCCTATGGCAGTGTCTACAGTTGCCAGCATCCGCAAAGCGGCCTTAACGTGGCGGTGAAGGTTTATCGTGGCTCCGATGGCCCCGCGGATTGCAGGCACGAAGTGGAGAAGATGAAGCTTCTAATGAAGGCCGTTCCGCAGCAGAAGATGATGTGGTTCCCGCTTCTTGTCAGCTCGGGTGTCACGGGCAGACCTTGGCCATGGATGGCTACTAGCCTATGTGGGCCCAGCCTGGCAACCGCACTTCGAAATCCTGCGGCGCATGGCAAGCCGAGGACGTGGTCTGTGGCAGCTCAGCTGAGAAGTGCACTGCAGACCTTGCATGACGCAGGCATCCTACACTTGGATGTGAAACCTGGCAATGTTCTTTGGTGCCCTTGCACAGATCAGGTGCAGGTGTGCGACTTCGGCATGAGTGAGAACATGGCACGGCTCCAGAAGGCTTCTCAGGCTCCCAGGTTCCTGCAGTATGTCACGGCTGCCTATCGACCTCCGGAGCTGTGGCCCGCTCGTGTGAATGTCGATGGAGACTGCGGTGTCAGAAAGCAGCTGCTGACTGCAGCTGTGGATATGTGGGCCTATGCTTGCGTGGTGTTTGAGGTGGAGACCGGGAATCCCTTCATGCCCAAGGGGGAGGCCGGACTGAGAGCGTGGTGCAAGCAGTGGCCCGAGCTGTGGAAAACACGCAGCGACTTAGCCAATTGCCCCGCTGCAAGTCACACGTGCTGCACAAAGGTGCTTCGAGCCGGTAAATGGGGGCTGTTTGTGTTGGTCGGCTGTGCTCCAGACCCCGGAAAGCGGCGGTGGCCGGAGCTCTGTCTGAATCAGAAATGACTCGACTGAGCCTCCATTTTTATTTGATGATGGCTCGTATGGTTTAACGTGTGTTTAGAGTCGGTTAAAGGGTTTCAGGGTTAGTTAGTAGGGTGTGACTTTCATAGCCTTCGTGTGTGCAGTTAGCAGCATATCCGAGCATGGGGGCAAGATTGCATGCAATGTGAGATGCAGTGAGTTTCCTCGTTGTAACCGATTCCGCACAGTGCCGTGCGTTGCATCTTGCCGAAGTGGTGAAGTGCGTCGTGACAAGCTGTTTGCAGGGCGTGTCGCGGCTACCAGGTTCCCAGGCTCCAAGGTCTGGCGCAAGACTGGCTGGGATCCCTAATTCAATTATTTTAATTCTCAGCGCGGGGGTTGTCCGAAAAAGCAGAGGCCAGTGTCGTGAATCATGTGAACGCACCCAAATTCCACATGTAACCTGGTTCACATGTCGTTCTTTGCAGGCAGGGAGATGGGCAAGCGTGGTCCACGGCCGCAGCGCCAAGGAAGCTGTCAGGACCCGTGCTGCGTTGGACAGTCAAGTTTAATTAATTTGACAGCGGATCTTGGCTGTCGCCAGGATGATTCGATGCTGCGAGGGACCGCATCGACATCGACCCATCGTCGTCAAGGCCACAAGGTTTAGTTTCAAAGCACCCTGCCCTCATGTACGTTTGTGTTCTACTGCTTCTGGCCTTGAATCTGCCTCGCTGCAGACAGCTCGGTACGACCAGGCATGCTGAGTGAAGAACCTGACTAGAATGAGACCCTCTTTCAGCGAAAGAGAGTCAAGATGCAGGCTCCAAGGCTCCAAGGCTGTGAAATAAAAAGGGGGACCCTGCCTCTGGCTCCCGGCCAAGCCTAACTGTGGTCGAAATGTTTTTTCTTCAACGGGGGACCCTCCGTGGCCTCTGGCTCCGGGCCAAGCCTAACTGTGGTCAAAATGAAAGGGGGACCCTCCTTGGCCTCTGGCTCCGTGCCAAGCCTAACTGTGGTCAAAATGAAAGGGGGACCCTCCTTGGCCTCTCCGGTGTGGTCAAAATGAAAGGGGGACCCTCCTTGGCCTCTGGCTCCGGGCCAAGCCTAACTGTGGTCAAAATGAAGGGGGCCAAGCAAGGCTCCAAGGCTCGCAAGGCAAGGCTCCAAGCTGGCTTTGGCTCCAAGGCTCCAGAAAGTGGGACCCTGCTTGCCTTTGGCTCTAAAGCAAGG